ATTTCCTCGGGGAATTGATGTAACAGCAAACCAATTGTCTAAGTGTGTGTGGAGGGGGGAAGAAAGGATGAAAGGCGGAACCAAGTGAAGGCGACAGACCCCATGCACTGGGTCTTGAGTAAGCTACGGCCGCTGCGGCAGACTCTTGCCATGCCAAGATTACTCTAGTTCGCTGTGGACACCTCGCAGCGCCATTGGCTGCGTCTTAGTTGACGTTTGGCATAAGCCTCCTGCGCTCACTGCGAGCTACTCTTCTCTCCGGCCGGGAGAATGGGACAAACCCCGTTCAACAGGGCCACCGGGGGGGCTCCTCGGGCTCACCACTGGGCTCACCCCGGGCTGGTGCGAGGCCAAACACATTTGGGAAACGCGTGTGAAACAAGTTGCGGGTTGCCACACGCCAGCGCAAGTAAAAAACCTAAGATACCAGGACAAAGTAAATAAGGAGGTCTGAACACCCAGGGAACCATCGCATGCAGTTCAAAGGCCAAAGTCTCAAAGTTCGGAAGACTCGAACGGCTCGAGCGACGAGTACTTGTCTGCAGACCTGGCGTTACGTAGCCAGCCTGACTTCTAGAGGAGAGCATAGTTACCAAACGCCACAAACTTCAGCAGGCACACGGAGGTGATCAGTCTCCGCTTCCCAGCTCGTGGAACAGCTTCGTTGGCACAGGTGTCCACGAGCCTGTGCCCCCTGCCAATGAAACCAAAAGGCTCCCTGTGATTCCAATCAAGGGTTTCTCACACACACACACATGAGAGCACACATATGTGAGCAAACACATGAAAGCACAGCTGTGGAGAGAGAGAGAGAGATAGGCGCACTTTGAGGTGCACAAATTGTTGCGTGAGGTTCGCTCTTGCGCCTGCCACAAACACCGCACTTTGATGTTCACAACGCGCTGGGGGCACCTGCCACGAAATCTATACTTCAAGGACCGAAATGCTGCGCCTGCTGCGAAACCTGCGGCCCGAGATGCACAAAGGGCGGCACCTGCCACAAAATCGGCAAAGTGAAGTCACACCAAGCGCGCTTGCCACGAATCTGCACGTGAAGATTCACATCGCACAGCCCTGCCAGCGCGGTTCGCAACATGAGCACTTCCAACGACACATTCAAGATGCCAAAGAGAAGCTGCGGGATACTTCTCCCAAAAACATCAAAAACAAGCCACATGTCACAAAACTACCAAGTCCCTAGTTCGGTGCCTGCCAGGAAATGTGCACATCGAAGGAAAGCGATCTGCCACGAAAATTGAACTTCAGACTACCAAACCGAGGGTTCCCTTGCTCCTGTCATGAAAAGTGACCACCAAATGCGAAAATGTGCACGGCAATCACACTGAGCAGTAGAGCACCCGCTCCGGACCGGTCGGACCAGTAGTTTGTGCGAACCTGCGCAGTCGAAATGTGCTTCAAAGATCTCGAGAGGCATGAATGTTCCATAACTGGCAGTGAAATAGCCGTCCACGCAGATGAGCACCCTCTCGATCAAACCCAGCCTTAACCACTACCACACCGGTTGGGGGAATCATATGAAATAACAACTGTGTACAGCTGAACGGCATGCAAATAAAGTCCGCAAAGTCTAGAGTCTGGCCCCACCTGGGAGCTAGATTCGACTCCACAAACGCCTCAGAACGCGAGGCTAGGTTTCGGGTCTGTGAAGCCCTGATAGTCAGGGCTTTCTCGCTGGACCAGAGGGATAAACCTCTGTCACTGTAAGTGGGGCCTTTTACATCCTTTTTAAAGCAACTACAGTCTAGCGACTAGCGATGTCTAGCAGCCAGCGGAGCACAGGACTGGAGCCACAGCTGCCTGAGGCATCAGCTCCCAAGCTTCTCCGGCAATGTCTCCTGCTCGGCGCCTCAGAGGAATCTGGCCAGAGTTAGTGAAGAAAACGGGGAATACACTTAGTGTTTTCTGATGTTCGTGGCTGCAAGAAGTGCTGTTATTTCAATGGGAGCGTGTGTTCTTCACATTAGCGATGCCAGAACCATTCGTATAAATACCTTATCACCACAGTTAGTGAGTACGGAGGACACCGGCAGCTTTTTCCTTTAAAAAAAAGGTTCCAAATGAATGAGAATGTTTATTTGCCAGTCCACCGTTCTTCAGATTCGGACCCAATTGATGGGTTGGACTCCCCTGCCTCGCGACAGCACAGGAATGACATATTCAAGGTGAATGGAGTTCGAATGTTTTGTCCACCAGGAAATCATGAACATACATGGGTCCGCCGAGGATTCTTCTGTTCGAACCGTCAAAAGCACTGGATGTTGTTTGATACTACTTTAAGGTCACATGCAAGCATTGCTCTTCAGTGACGTGGAAACTTGCTTTGATCCCTCCTTCAGTAGTTTTGAGATGTTGTGAGATTTCTGGGATGTTTGGCCTGAAAGATCTGAAAAGGACAGGAAGAAACATGAAGAAACATGCCGTTTTGGTTGTAATTCGCAAACCATGCAGAGCCTTCACAATGTCGAAGCCTCTCAGAGCCATCTGGAAGCCCTCAAAGGAGAGAGCCCCGGTCAAAGTTGAATTGCTCACCACAAAACCAAACCTTCATGCAAAAAAGGATCAAAAAAGCCCATGCCTTCACCACGCGCATGCAGAACACAACGCCTGGGCTCGCTGTTCTGGCAAATACCTGTTCTGCTCTAGGGGACCTTGCACAGTCATGGCGACCTTGTAAACACCGGGAATCACTTGCAAGACTGCAATGAACGGTCGAATCCCGATGGCTCTTGGATATTCTTGGGTGGTCTTGGAACCTTTATTTATGGAAGGAAAGTCCACATTCCGGGCTTGTTGCCATAAAGTCTGTACCGTTGCAGCCATGGCACAATTCGTCGTGTCGGGCTGCTTCTCAACGGGAGACATGATCTGCCAATCAAGAACATGCTTCACACCTCATCGGCTCTATTCAATTATATAAATATATACTGTGTTCCACCGGTTGACTGCGCCAAGGTCTGAAGACCTCTGCCTGTTTGATCGTCCTCTTTGTTGATCTCTATGCAGGGATGACAGGGCCGGAAATACATGATGCCATGGTTACGTTCTTCATCTTATGCTCTTGCAGCAAGGAAGGCAACGAAGAGCCTGGAACAACCAACGTCCTGCCTGAAACTCGCGCTGCAAGTCTTCTTGCAGGACTCGTGTGATGATGCGCCCAGCCACTGGGGGTGCGCCCCCCACGTTGTGCCGACAAATCTGGGCCTAGCACTCTTGCAGCCCCCCACGGCTGGCTTGGTTGCTCACAGATCTCTGATCTATCCTGTCATCCTTCAAATCCATGATTGACAAAAGATAACTCACATGAGGTGGATTGATTTGCAGATTTTGAGCCAAAACCAATGAAGCAGGTACCCTTCCACCACTGTGCCTGTGGATGGCTGCTGGGAGCTGTTGGAGCCTTTAGACTGGCAGCTAAGTCCTCGAAATGGAGCCATGGAGCAACTAGGGGCTTCTTGTTCCCACTAGTTAGTAAGAATGCTACTAGTAGTAATGCGAGGACCCCCTACAAGTAGTAGCGTCCTTGCTACTATATAGTAGTAATGCCAGGAGCCCCTAGTAGTGTCCTTGCTACTAGTAGTAGTGCCAGGAAGTAGCGTCCTTGCTACTAGTAGTAATGCCAGGAGCCCCTAGTTTCTTGAGCAAATCTGTCAGCCCTAATCATAATCTATTCTCACAAAATAGGATAAAACCGTGCCGAACAGCTGAGCCATGCTCACAGCTACCTGGTTCGCCCTCCCACTTGCAACTTCTTGCAACTTGCTCATTGTAATGATCAGTTTACTCTGATTTAATCAGGTCCATCCTCCACGTCGCGGTAGCGTGATTGCACTGACCGCACCACCTGGTGCCGGATACGACATGTGGTTGGTTGTGGCAGGGTTGAAAGGTAAACTTTAAAAAATAGCAATGCGAAAAATCATATAGATTCGAGAATTATCAAAAAGACCTTTAGGCAAGCCTTGTGCTCCCATTTGTAGTCCACTTCAGTAGAATTGTATGGGATGCTGTCTCTTCAACTTCAATCATTCGAGCAACTTTCGTCAAGTTGCTGTCAGAAGCTGACCAACTGTTTCATCAATACCTCAAAGTAATCACAGTGTACATACAACATAGGTGCCAGCCGGGCGACCTGGCAATGTTGTTGCAACGGGGGTTATGACTTTGAAGGAGGGGCCGCCCCAGTTTTCAACGTGCCTGTCAACCTGCCTCAAGCAAAACTCTGCCCACTCACTGCCTGCTCACAACTCTGAACGTCGTCTGCAAAGTAGACCAAGATTCCTTCCTGTACCAGGACAAAAGCATGGCCTTGAGTGAAAGCTGTGGTCGTGGAGCCTAGAAAGCATCGATGGATCAAGGTAAAGCGCTCGACTGAGATTGCATGCCTTGATAGCGTAGAAGAGGCAGCAAAGCCACTGCTGCTCCCGTGTTGGTGGAGGCTGGCAAAGGCTAGGAAAGTGTGAGGAAGCTGATGGCTAGAAATGGCAGCATATTTGTAATTGTGTGAAATCATATGACTGACTTGATGCAGAACGTGGCAGCAAATCTGCGACCCCATGTAGCTTTGCTTGGGCAAATAACATGCATCAACATGTTTCAGCATCTGTCCAGCTCCACTCACCAGTTTTGCCTCGTCCAGCTCTCCGAACTTCTCCATTGAGAGTCCACTGCTGCGGGACGCGGACTTTGCCCTGGTGACAGAAGAGACCATACAAGATCATACAGGCTGGTCATTCAAGTGGCAGCGCTGGAATGTAGATCAAACCCCATGTTTACTCATTGTTATGGTAACAAGCAGTCCAGAGCATGTCTGTGGTTTCATAGGTGTAGTCTCTTGTCAGGGAACTTAAGAGCATAGCTCCTGTCTGCCTGTACCTCTCCTCTTGTGCATCTTCCCTTCATTCGCTGCCTTCATTGTCCTTCTTGCTTATCCCTGATTTAGTGGTTTTTTCTTGGTGCTCCTCCTGCTTTTTCTGTTAGCCAATGTTCACGTTGGACAAACAATGAAAATAACAATAATAACAATAATAAATAACAATAATATATACGGTAATAAAACACTCCTCTTATCCATAGATGACTAGAAGGAGAACATGAAAACAAACGAAACCTTGACTGGACACAACAAACCATCCCTGCATCTTCCACTGAGTTCAAGACATCCTGTTGGATGGGCTGAGTTTGGCCCCGGAGGGGCTACGGCTCCTGGGAATCAGTGACCCAAGCGCCAGGCAGAGTGAACTTGGAAAGCTAGTAACTAGCAGCTAGCTGCTAGTTGCAGTGCATAGGCATAGGATGACCCACCGGCCACAAAACAAGAGCTGGTAGTTACGGTGATGTTAGCCAGGATTGCAGTTTGGAGGCGTTACTTAGACTTTTGCTGTTGTTAGTCCCAAGCGAGACACCTCTTACAAATTCTTCAGAAGCCTGCTGGCATCGCTACTAGGGGCTCCTGGCATCGCTACTAGTAGCAAGGACGCTACTAGGGGCTCCTGGCCTTACTACTAGGAGCCATGTTTGCTATTAGGAACAAGAAGCTACTAGGATGCCACCCTCTTGGATGTGGTGCCAAACGACTGAGCTGCTAGCATCCAGCTGCATTGCTGGCTGAGCTTTTTGATAGACGACGGGCTTGCATCCCTTGGCAAACCGAGGGAGGTTTTGTTGAGGTGTGAAGTGCAAAGCAACGGTTTCCAGGCTTTGGGTTGATGACTGCCCAATTGAGTGGGGTAATCGGATAACTAGTTACACACAAGAATACAGTTGCTGTGCGTTCTGCGGATTGAGCAGCCTTTTCTGTCTCATTATGTAATTATGTCTCATTTGTAGATTTAGAATGATTTAGAGGGCTGAACAGCCTGTTGTAGTGCTGGCGTCACTGGCAATAACTAGCAGCATCCAAGACCGATTTGAAACGATTGGTACCTGGATGAGGGTTTCATCGAGCAAATCGACACCAGACAGTCTTGATCCAAGCGACGGCGAAGTCTCTTCCTCAAGATCCTGGAGTTCTCAGAAACCCTCCAGTCCGAACAATTTGATGCCAGTGATTGCCACCAGAAACCTCTCTAAGAAAAGGACCTTGCAGAACCATTCCTTCTAGCCGAGGAATGAATGAATCTACCAGTGGTCCGGAGTTCGGAGTTGTTTTGGTTCCCACGTCCCAAACAGAACACACCATCTCAAGCCAGGTCCTTTTGTGGATTGACTTTCACCTGACATGGATGGCCATGGCACGGCTTTTGTTGATTCACATAAAACGTGTCCAACTCACCACTTCAGTTGTCAAAAGCTGTCGATAGATGGTCAAGCTGTCCGAATAGGGTTCAAGGTGAGTGGCAAACAAGTCTGTGATCTTGCAGTTCTGCTCTACCACCGAATGGTCAGTGAAGGTTGGAAGGGAGCTCTTAGAAATCAGCTGCAATGTCATTCATTCGTCCAAAAGATTGATGAAATAAACAAATTACACCAGCATAGACCCAGATAGCTAGGCAGAATCCCACGTCCTGTTGACATGGAACAATGTACGCAGCCTGCACAGCCAGCTTACGGCACCTCCCCTGCGCGCAATCAGCTGACACCAGCACCGGTGCGCTTTGCCAGCTGACAACACCGGCAACGGCGCCAGCACCCGACCAGCGCCGCCCGTCTTGAACCCGCGCTCAGCCAGCCCACAGCACCAGCACCCAGGACCACAACACCAGCACCAGCACCGACACCCTTTCGAAAGCGCGCGCAGCCAGCTCATTCTTATTTGCAGCAAGAACCCCATAGTTATCCCTATTTGCGGAATAACAACGTATGATCTTGTGCGTAGAAGTGTATGCGCGCAAAAGTATGCGCGCAAACAGCAAAGCCCGTAAGTGTCATTGGCCCAAGGCCAAGCAGTATCCAGCGCCACTATTGACTTTGTAGCATGCTTGAAGCAACGATCTGCAGAACGATAAGGCCGTATGATCTTGGCGCATAAGTTTATGCGCGCAAAAGTATGCGCACAAATGGCAAAGCCCGTAGGCTTCACTCGCCCAAGGCCAAGCAGTATCCAGCACGACTATTGTGCGTGTAGCATGCTGAAACATGCTGAAATAATGGTAGGTTGAGAGCCTGACGTTGCGCACAGAACATTATACGTACAAAAGTACGTGCGCATTGTCCATTGAAAAAATCAGAGCCCCGTAAATCTGGGGAACAAAAAATCCTCTCCACCAGGCGCACAGCCAGCACCCAGCACCGGCACCCGGCACCCTGTCTCCACCACGAGCACAGCCAGCAGCACCCTGTCTCCACCACGTGCGCAGCCAGCTCACAGCACCGGCACCGGCACCCGGCACCCAGCACCAGCAACCTGTCTCCACCAGCACCAGCACCAGAACCGGCACCCGGCACCCAGCACCGACACCCGGCACCAGCACCAGCAACCTGTCTCCACCACGTGCACAGCCAGCTCACAGCACCAGCGCCAGCACCGGCACCCGGCACCCGGCACCGGCACCTGTCTCCACCACGTGCACAGCCAGCTCACAGCACCAGCACCAGCGCCGGCACCACCAGCAACCTGTCTCCACCACGTGCACAGCCAGCTTACAGCACCAGCACCGGCACCGGCACCCGGCACCCGGCACCAGCACCGGCACCCGGCACCAGCACCAGCAACCTGCCTCCACCACGTGCGCAGCCAGCTCACAGCACCAGCACCAGCACCGGCACCCGGCACCCAGCACCAGCACCCGGCACCAGCACCAGCAACCTGTCTCCACCGCGCGCACAGCCAGCTCACAGCACCAGCACCAGCGCCAGCAACCTGTCTCGAAAGCGCGCACGGGCAACTCATTGTTATTTGAAGTAAGAACCCCATAGCTTCGCTATCTGGGGAATCCGCCGGCCTGCCGGCGTGTTTTGTGCATTGTTTTGGTTAGTATTGCTTGCGTTGGTTTCAATCTACGGAGGTAGTGGTGGTGGCAGTAGCAGTAGTAGCAGTAGTAGTAGGTAGTAGGTAGTAGGTGGTACGTAGTAGGTAGTAGGTAGGAGGTCGCTGGATCAGAATAGACAACCATTGGACTGAGACATGTCGATCGCTGGATCAGAATAGACAACCTCTGATTCGGATTCGTTCCATTTCATTGTAAAACGACTTCGCTTGAAATCAACAGCGACAAACTCTCCCAGCAAAATGTGCAAGTCCAATGCACCCACAAGTCTGATTGAGCAGGGTATTGTTGTTCGATGTCATTCTGGGTCTTTCATTTCAAACGGTTTGGAGGAAAAAACGACAAATCCTGCCAGATCTAGAAATTCTTCGGTCGCTTTGAAGGCTTCTGTGTGTGAAAAA